TCATGAGGGACATAAATGGACTCCTGTAGAACCTCAGTGAAACCGTAGGATTCTGTTAACATGGATCCAGTGGTGGGGTTTAGGCCTTAACTGGCTGTCTGAACAAAATGATGGTAACAAGGAGAAATTCTGGAAAAGGACTTCGAATGTACTATCTGCCCTTACAAATCTCAAAGCAAATGTATCGATTCCTTTTTTTAGAAAAGGGCATTGCCTCCACAAATGCAAAGGTATGGATGATATATAGCATAGTACAGCTCACATCACAGACGTACACATCTTGAAGCTCACATGGTTTTGTTACAGTATCTCAAGCCACATTTATCATAGTGAGGAAGGTGAAATGACTTGACTGTTCTGAATGGAAGATATGCAAACCCAAGTGGGTTGAGGTGGTTTTGACTCAGCCTCTACATGTCAAGTTTTCCCTTAAATCTGAATTAATCAAAAAGAGGTAATATGAGTCCACACAGTCTGCATGAACCAAAACTGCTGAATATTTTTACATTTCTAAGAACGGTCTCCATCCTGTGGTGGCTAGGGGGAAATTGTTAAGGACTCTGAATGGGATTTTACATACAGTGGTCTCTAAGGCACAGCAATGACTTGCTAATATTACATAACTGATGTAGGAGAATGCCATTAATGTTATAGTGATGAGTAGTAAGTTTCTGTTAAGGGTCTGTTTAGTTTGGAAAGATTCTTACACTCTTGCATTTGATATCATCTAAATACATATCCAGAGGATGATCCAAATGGCAAATTGCAGATCTCTGGATGACATGGTTGTGCACAAGAGAGAAGATCATTAGACAATCAGAAAAAAACAAGTAAGATAAGGTGGCATTCACTGATCAACTGACCTATGCAGCAAAGCTTTCTAGACTTATGCTAACCATACAGCTGCTTTATATATAAAGGATCTTCACTCTGACAGTCCAGCATCAGTATGCCCAATTAAAATTCTTGGTGTTCCAATAGTCAAGACAGTGTCACTTGCAAACTAAGACATCATAAGACTCTGATAGTCTATATACTATACTTGTTTACTGGAGCACAATTAACACTCAATCCATTCCCTGGTAGCATTCGTTGGTTTGTTCTTTAATTGCCAGTAGTGGCACAAACCTATTGGTTAAATGCTTTGAAGCTACAGGTTTCCCTCGATTTATGCGGTACATGCATTCCCAGAGAATGGAGCATAAATAAAATTTGCATAAAGTGAACCCACTTTATAATGTAACAAATAGAGATAGGTTCCCATGGTGGGGAGGCTGGGACTAGGGAAGGGGTCGGGGGAGGGGGGCCACTCCCAGGGCTGCACAAGGGAGCAAAGCAGAGAGAACTGTCAGTGGGTGCGGGGGAGGGGGGGGCCAGGGTATGATTCTTGCTGCAGCAGGGGCTGGGGTTAATTGGAACAAAGTGGAGCCCTAGGTTGCACAACACAGCAGGCTGCTGCTGACTGGGGCCAGCAGCGGCACAGGGGTCTTCCCAGTGCTCAGGGTGGGCTGTGCCAAGTGTCAGGAACAGCCCAGCGCCACCACCAGCTGCAGCCTGCAGCAGCATCCTGCCATCATCCCACACAGATCTGGGAGCATGCACCCCCAGGAAGAGCCCAGGACAGCCCTCCAGCCACTGCAGCAGGGGCTGGGGTGAGTCCTGCACCCCGGGCTGCCCAGGACTCTGCTTCTTCCCACTCACCCCAGCCCCTGCTGCAGCGTCCCCAGGAGCAGCTGACACCAGCTGCCTGCACCACGGCACCGTGCAGTCCAGGAGCTGGGGTGACTGGGGACAGGCGGTGCACAGTGCAGCCCAGCAGCTGCAGGCAGCTGGCACCAGCTGCTGCTGCAGCAGGGGCTGGGGTAAGTGGGGCCCCGGCCCCATGGTCCTTTCCCCACATCCCCAACAGACTTACCTGCTTGGGGGTGGGGTGGGCTATGCCGATCGCATAAGAGTGAATTTACCTTACATATAATGATTTCTGGGTCTAAAAATGCTCATTGCATAAGAGCAAATTTGCATATACAGAACCCGCAAAAAATCAAGGGAAACCTGTATAAGAAAGAGAACCATCCAAAAAAGATCAAAGGTTCCCATCTAACATTTCCCTATTTGGTATAGTGCAATAATATTCTAAGGGCCCAGCCATACCATCCTCACCTAGGTAAGAGCCTAGTTAACCTCACAAGGACTGCCTGGGTGAGGACTACAGGTTTCAGTTCCAAGGATTTAATTAAGAAATCCTCATATACTATGAAGCAATGTTTCATAAAACATTTAAACTAGTTTTTTACTGGACAGTAGAAAATGACAAATTAGAACTGTACTTAGATCTCTATTGCAGATTTTTGAAGGTGCTATTTTAGTCTGGTACAGGGAGCTATTTCCTAAGAGCACTATTGACATTCAACAGACTTCTTGATTGATATTTCCCACAGATGTCCATCTGGGTGCATTTACAGCCCATTTCTGCTACTTATAAAAAGGCGATTGACAATTGTCATTCCAAGTGCCTACAGCACATCTGCTAACACAGTATAAAAGATATCAAGTGGACTCGCTGACTTCTTTTTAGGATTTTCATATAGCAGCCCTTGAAAATCTAGACATTACCAACACTCTTCCTTTGGATACAATAGAGAAGACAGTGTCTTGTATAATGCTATAGAACTTGTACTGCCTTACCCTAGAATTGCCTTTACATTCCTGGACTATTTTAGTATCATGCTGTGTTTGCTATTTATCCTGAAAAATATACTTAGTGTGACTTTTTTGGGGTCTAGGCCATCAGAACTGAAGCTACCTAATCCTACTATGCTGATATTGTCAACCCACAGGAATAAAATCATTGTTATAGACAGCACTGATGCCTAAAAGTCACATTTCCAACTGGATACATTTTCTATTGAGATAGATGAATATTACAAATATTTGATTTAAAATGTATCATTGCCTCAAAGTAAAAATGTTATCCCTCTCCCTCCCCCCACAAATATTCAAAGAAACACAACATTGATTTGCTTAGCCCAGCAGTATGACTGTGTAGAATATGGAGCATTTTAGGAGGCTGTCTTGATGAAAAGTGATTTCATTCTTGACACAGGCACTGAGGTAACACACAGTTTAAATCAGTCTCCAGCCTGCTTAAGACTGGTTAATAACTAACAGTACAAACTTTATTTAATGCAGAAATGTTTTACCAAAGGTAGACTGGAACTTGATCTACAATCTCTCTATAGTGTGTTCATATTGCCAGTGTTAGAAATACCCTCACTTTGTATCAAGTTAACTGCTTCCATATCTAGCCTCAAAAATGCATATTCTAATTTAACTCTGAAGTATAACCACAAATAGACCAGCAAGTATTTCTTACCACGTGGACCCAACCATATTGGGCTGAGCAATTAGTCTCAGTATACCTCAAAGTTGTAGTGAACCTATTTCCATGCAACCTGGCTGGGGGGTGGGAGGAAAAAAATCGGAATTATATCAGAGAAGTTAAATCATCTGACACTATTGAGAGAAATACAGCAAAGCAGTTTGGGAAAGGTTAAGGGGAAAACAAAGATGCCAGCTTTAAGCACATGCCATGTTGGTAACTGCAGTGCCACTGTAGAGCTTAATGTGATTCTATTATGAAAAGTAACTAAAATAGCATCTGGTCTTTCAATTTATCTCTATATGTGCAGCTGAGAGTCTTCCCTGCTTTCTTCAGTGAAACTACTTTTTCCTCATTCTGTTTGCAATACTAGTTCTGCAGTATTCTGGGATATAGCCTGAGTTCCACATCAGACTTGTTGACTAAGCTTTGATTGCAGGATATTTGGCTTTCAAATTCTAAGAGGGAGTTTACAAGGCTTCTGTTTAGAAAAAGCTGCATTTTATTTGTAAACATAGCAGGTTTTTCCTAAGAGCTACCAAAGGACAATTATGAACTTCCCACTGCCACTTGCAGTTATTTTGAAGAACAGAACTGCACCGAAATGTTGATGTTTGCCTGAAAGAAAAATCTTTGTGCTTTAATGTATTTTGGTACAGTGAACCAGCACAGGATCTAACTGAAACTTAGAACCTGGGAAAATTGCTATAAAATGTCATCAAAACTTGAAACCCTCCTTCATTATTCCTACGTCTACTAGGACAATTCTAATTACTTTAGCTTCATGTGTATGCAGAGGAAGAGTGGTAGTTTGTAGGATTTTCTGGTACTAGAGTCTAGTTAATTACTCCTGTTTCTCTTGCATTAAAACTCAGATTTTCTTCTTAGGAACCTGATATTAGTGGCAGTATATGGCAGCATCTTTCACCCTTCTCATATTGGTTCATTCCCTTAGACTATCCTAGAAGCTGAAATCTTCACTGTTCTTTGGTAGATAGGGAAAACATCCTCAGAACAAACTTATCCTAATTCTCAAGGATACACACCAAGAGAAACATCCGTTTAGTTCCACCCTGACCTACTGCACATACCACATGGCAATGATCTTTGTAGCATCTTTTGCCTTAACCTTCCTCAGTAGTAAACTACATTATTATCCCTTTGGCCCCAACACTTACACAGCCATTATAACAAGGAGTGCATGGACAATAGTCTATGGAACAAAGTTCATTGGTACATCTTTATGAAATCCTAAAGTTGCTTCTCCAAGAATATAAAGTTCAACACATTCTGTACATGTTGTTGGTTTCTTAATTATAAAGTAAACATGGTAACAAATTGTTCATAAAGCATTGATTCTTTTTAAATGCAGCCCCTTCTGGTTTTGTTTGTGAAAGTCCTCTTCTAGTCAGAATACTAGTGAGATTTACTGTCAGTGTGCATACAGTACATGACAGCAGAGGAAGGAAGAAAGAGGCACTTTTTGATTGGCTGGTATTCTTAGACTTCCCTTTTTCTGTGTAGGTTTAGGTTCCTGACACTAGATGGTAGTGTTGTCACAGAAAAAACACTGCGGGTAGGCACTTGGCAGCAAGGTTCCAAGGCAGTGCCCAGCTCTCTGCTATGTCATCAGGATCGGTTTCTGCCGCACTTCCACAATATCTATAGACACAGAAGACAAGAGACATTATAGCAAATATCTAAAGGTGGCTGGTGTATAGGAGAGACATAGTTGGCAGCGTTAGTCTGAAGTCAAGTAGAAGGGCAAGATAGATTTGCACCTTGTTGATCAAGCAAAAAGTGTGCGAGTGTGTGTGCACATGTGTATGCGTGTACGCACGTGTATATCGAGAGAGAGAGCAAGCTCGCTCATCAGAGGCTGTGAGCTTCAGCTCATGAAAGCTTGCGTGCTCGTTCACTCTCTCCACACACACACACACACACACACACACACACACACACACACACACACACTTTGGTTAGTCTATAAGGTGCAAATCTACTCTGCCTTCTCTACTTGGTGTAGTGGAATCAGGAATATAATCCTGGATTATACCTTTAATAAATCACAGCTTGTTTCTACACTACATCAGAAGGGTTTTCAAACAAAGCTACCATTTCAATGATGTATATCAAGAAATATTTATCACTTGAAACTTTGTACTACAGATATAGTGGCAAACAAACAGTACACTCCATCCTCAGTAGTGGATAACTGATCTAATATATAGTTTTTATAGCAGTATGGGATCCTTTGAAATAAAAGGTACTATCCATCATTAAATAACAGAACTGTCCTCTAAAGGAACCAGAAAGAATCCCATCACTGGAAACAGAACACTAGAAAGTTTACTGTTGCAAAACAAGCCTTTGCTGACAGGAAGAAATCCATCAAGGCCCACCCTTAGAAATCAACAGGAGTTGGGTGCCTGTATACTTTTGAGAATCTGAGTCAAAAGCAGTAAAGTAACCTAATTCCAGGAGAGCTGACTTATTCCTGTGGTGTCCTGGGGGCAGTTTTGTTCAATATTGTCATCGATGACCTGGAAGATGGGATGGAGCGCACCCTCAGCAAATTTACAGATGATACCAAGATGGGTGGAGTAGTAGATATGCTGGAGGGTAGAACTAGGATTCAGAAAAACCTAGACAAATAGAAGGATTGGACCCAAAGAAATCTCACAAGGTTCAATAGGGACAAGTGCAAAGACCTGCACTTAGGGCAGAACAATCCCATGCACCAGTGAAGACTGGGGACTGACTGGCTAAGCAGCAGCTCTGCAGAAAAGGACCTGGGGATTAGAGTGGACAATAAGCTTAATGAGAGCCAACAGTGTGCCCTTGTTGCAAAGAAAGCTAATGTTATACTGGGCTGCATTGGTGGGAGTATTGCCAGCAGAGCAAGCGAAACAATTCTTCCCTTCTATTTGGCACTGGTGAGGTCACATCTGGAGTACTGTGTCCAGTTTTGGGCCCCCCACTACAGAAAGGATGTAGACAAATGAGAGAGAGTTCAGTTGAGGGCAATGAGAATCGTTAGGGGGTTGGGGCACATGCCTGATGAAGAAAAGCTGAGGGAACTGGGTTTATTTAGTCTGGAGAAGAAAAGACTGAGGGGAAATTTAATAGCAGCCTTCAGCTAGCTGAAGGGTGGTTCCAAAGAGGACAAAGCTAGACTATTGTCAGTGGTGGCAGATTACAGAACAAGGAGCTATGGTCTCAAATTACAACAGTGGAAGTTTAGGTTTGATAGAAGGAAAATCTCTCTCACTAGGAGGCTAGTAAAACACTGGAACAGGTTACTCAGAGAGGTTGTAGAATTTCCATCCTTGGACATTTTTAAGACCAGACTAGACAAAGCTTTGGCTGGGATGATCTAGTTGGGGATGGTCCTGCTTTGAGCAGGGGGTTGGACAAGATGACCTCCTGAGGTCCCTTCCAACCCTCATTTTTTATGATTCTATGAATTCATGCTCAAAGAGAACACCCTGGTTCCCTAAACTGAGAGTAAAGGAAAGAAAATTAACAGGATTTCTTTCTGCTGACTGTAGTTATATACAAAATAGTGAGATGTCCTGCTGACTGTAGTTATATACAAAATAGTGATTTTTTTTTTTTAATGGTCCAGCAAAACATTAATGTTGAACGTTCCTTTGACAGTTATAGGCCCCATATTGGCACCTATAAAAGGTGGACATTTAAATTAGCGTTAATCTATTTAACAGTCTTTGGAAGTTGACCTGCTTTATCAGGTAGCATAAAGGGGCTGCTGGTTGAGAGGAGTATGAAATTTAAATTGACAACATTAAAGGAAGATCAAGTAACTGCACAAAGACGCAAAGATTTAAGTTTTTTTCAAGTTTCTCAGTTGTTCTGATTCACTTTTCTAAGGCATTAAACCAGGTACAATATTTTCTGCTTTCTTCCACTTTTGATCACTGTAGCTTTAATTTTAACCACTGGGGCTTTGTAAGAATCACCTTTTAAGACAGCAAAACAAGGTCCATGCCTGTCAGTGAACAACATTCTGAGACTGATGCAGCTGGTATGCAAAACTGCACTTTGTGGTGTGGCTAAGAGGCACTAAAGATGCATTTTCCATTGGCACTCCCACCTTATGCAAAGGCCAGGAGTGAAAAACTGAAGAGAAGGGATCCAAAGCAACAACTTGCATGTAGTCTGTATATTGTACTCCCTTTTCTCTGTTTACTTGAGACCTGCTGTAAACACTGATTTGTGGAACATTTTCCCATAAATTAAGTCTCAGAAAAGGCATGTCAGCAAATATTTGAGGATTTAGGCATTTGTGTCACCCACTTAAGCAAATGTTAAATACCAGCCAAAACAATACATCGATGTACTCAAAAAACATCTACAGTAGGAGATATGTCTCTTAATGTAGATCCCAGCTGTACAGTAGAAACAGTCTCAGGAAGCTAGGTATAGAGAATTACCTTACTAGGGTAAGATATACAGTGTTATCTTACTAAGTTTATAGATGGTTACCCATTTCTCCCAAATAGTGTTTAGAATACACTCTAAATTATGCAGAACCAAGTCTTACTTTAAGAATGCTATTTGAATTTGGAGTTTGTTCTGAACTAAGTCTATACCTGTATACCCAGTTAGAGCAAAATATTATTTATATCTATTTCATTGGTATCTGAAGTACCTGCTACTGCCTCAACTTCATGTTCTATAACACATTAATCCACCCTTTGAGTTCCCTGAATAAAAACTGCCCTAGAGATGCCAATTATTATTACAGTAGATATCATTGTCACAGCAGTTCTCTCCTTCCACCTCTTCCAACTTCAGTTGAAGAGATTCTAATAATAAAATGTTGTCTGTCACAACTCTCCCACATCCCTTCACACCACCTTTTAGAAAGAGTCTGATGAATATACGGGTCAGATCCTGTCATCCTCTTATCCTTCAAAACAAGTCACAAAAAGCAGAAATGAAGAGAAGGAACCACCCACATTTTGCTTTAATGCTTTTTCAGGGACTCTAGCAGGATAGCATAATATCACATTTGGATGCTTAAGTACCACTTACGTGGTAAAGAGATGGAACAGGATCTGCCTTATAGGGTTTATTATGTTCCCTAAATGGCAATTTATTTTGATTTCCATGAACCATTGTATCAGGTGAAAGCCCTACACTTGGATAAACAAATCTATCAGCCTACACATCCCCACTGACCTCAGTTGGATTTGAAGACACAGGAAGCCCAAGTAACAGATACTTCTAGATCAAAACCAACTCCCTGAATTGTATTAGGAGACTATGTAAAGACTATGGAGCATGGAAAGAGCAGGGCCATTCAAGCAGGGTTTGGCCTATCAGCCAGAATCCCTAGACACATCACCAGCAAACAGTAGTTCATAGCATAAGACTCTGATAGACTTAGAAGAATCAGCATGGCACTTTGATCTTTGCCCAATACTGAAAATAATCTGTTAGGTTAAATATAGCTAGGAAGGGCTCCATGCCAAGCCTAGATCTAAAATCAGTCTGGAAAGAGCTGAAAGACTCCATAGATTTCAACACTGCCCTCTACCTACTACTCTATTCCTAATGATTCTTCCTGAAAACAGGAGGGCTGGAGGAAGTGGGACAGTCGGTGTCAAGACATGGTTTCTCAGCAAAGGTACTTAGCAATCACTAAACAAGTCCCACTGATAACATAGCTTAGAGCCTCCTGAAAGTTTCCCTGTAAAGGCCAAATGATTTGAATTCTAATGTAGCAAAAAATGGAGCGTCAGTGAGCAAAACTAGCCAGAAACTAAGAAACTGTCTGGCTGCTGCCCAAACCACTTTGACTAATCTGCTGTTATGGAGGCAACACATCCAATATGTGAAATAAATGGAAATCCCTCCTTTGCAAAGAAATACTTGGTCCCACATCTGAGCAGCAAAATCCTTACTTGCTAGGCTGTCTGCCACCCAAAAGAGTCAGAATTTTACAGATGCTGTTCAAGAAAGATATCTCTTCATCTCCATCACTGCCTGAGCATAAGACACCTCTGTGTTTATTCTGCTGGAACTACTCCAATTCCAAACACTGCTTCCAGCGCTGGGGCATTAGCTTTATACCCTCCACATTTCTACTCTCTAACTGGCTGTACCCTATATGACACAACCTTAAAAATAACCCAGGAGAATGTGTCAAGGAAGGGGATTGTTTAGGACCAAGTAAATAAGTAGTCAAGAACAAAAGATATATTGCATGGTGCTCACCTCAGCTATTGAAATCCGATGTCATGGCTACGATTAAGTTCAACTGGCTATGCAGTGTTCAGTAGCCATAATATATGACTACTGAATATATATAGCTTCTGATATATCAGAAAAAAAGAACAAAGCAAATAGCAATTTGATATTTTTACACTAAGCGCAACCCTGAGAAACCAGTTAAAGCATAGTTACATGTCACCGGGGTAATTTCTGTGTTTATGTGAAGAAGACAAAAAGTTTCACCTGTTAAAATTCGATGCAGTGGCAAAGTGACGTAGGTTAAATGTGCATAGAGTAGAAAGTTTTCATCTGTTCTGTTTAACTTCAGCCACGAGCCAACCAGGGACCGTCCTGTTCCCGATAAGGACCGCGACCTTAGATTAGTTGCATTGTGCAGATCTGTGAAGGCACAATATAACAACCTTCAATATGTGTTTTATACCTCTCCATCCTTCCCTTCAGTCATCTGCTTCATCTTGAAAATAAATTATCAGAACCATTTACAGAAAAAGGTACTGTAGTACCTCTCGGGTTATAAATGAGCATTTGAAGTGGTGATTTTGGAGATTACTCTGGTTAACGAGTGCCAGTAAACACAGGGGCTTGGACCTGGTAGCCCAGAAAGCTTCTTCCACTCCTACATTCCTATCTAGAGCTGAATTCCAAGCAAAACAGTGTCACGGTTATTACTACTTTTTAAGCAGGCAGCAGCTATTAGCAAGGTCTAAATGTAGGATCTAGCTAACAGCATATATCAGTACTACTTTAGCTAAAGAAGTCATTCTGCTAGGAGGGAGCAGTATTAAGTTGTTATCCTATAATGGGCCAGCCAGTAGCCTAACTATGGGTGGGTAAGAGCGGCCCAAGCCCTGGGTGCTGATTAAGGTGGGGAAAGAGGTGGCAGTGTTGGAATGGGGGGGTGCTAGAATGGATGCAGCTATGCTGCTAATCCAGCAGCTCCAGGCTCAGGCTTTGTGGAGTGGTGTCAGGAGCTGGGCAATAAACTTCAAGGAGGCTCTTGGGTCTTGACAACTAATTATGTTGGGGGTGAAGACAGGGGAGCACCCCTCTTGCTGCTGAATGAGGGTTTTTATATTTCTTTGCTCAGCATGGCATTCAGTAGTGCCTTACTGGGTGGCAAGGAGGTTTAACTCCTTAGGTAGGTGGCATCTTCCTTCAGAGCTGCTAGGATCCTAGAGCTGCCCTGGCTCCACCCCTTGTCTCCTCCTCTCTGTGCAGCTGGAGCCCATAGCTGCCAGGATGCAGTAGCTCCCTTGCCTCCATCTCCTGAGGCTTTGACACCACCCGGATCCAAGTATGCCTCTGGGCGCACACCACCCCTGACTCTGTCCAGGACAAAGGAGATTGCTATGCCTCTTGGTCTAACCACCAGAGAGGAACCTGGCCTGTTCCAAGAGAGTGTGCCAGTTCTACTTTCTCTTCCTGTTTGTCCTTATGTAACATTCCTGCACAGCAACATTAACTGCTTAAGTAGAAAATTTAAGTCAGGAAAACAACATATTTTAGATGGCTTATGGGGTAGGTTAACATCTGGAAGCTAGAAGAGTCAGTGCCATGTGACAACCCAGTCCATTACTGGCTGCCACTGAACAAGTCTCAGACCACAGTTTAGGGTCTCCTCCCACCTAGCACTCCTTACATAACCCCTTTAATGTTCCAGAACTGACTTAGTGGAGATTAACATAACTATAGGCAGAGGTTGGGTTAAGCACCCAAACCTCTAGGAGGAAGCAGTTAAAAAACTAAAAACTGGATGGGAACAGAGGTCTGACCAAAGGAGAAATGATGTGCTGCAGTCACTGCTATAACTAGAAAGAAAGATGCAAGAAGCAGACTTCTATTCTTACAGCCTCCTTAGAAGAGCCAAAACTCTATGGACATAGTATTAAAATGTCTTTTGACATTATATCAGCAATTTAATTAGTAGCTAAGCTATTCAATCCACTCAGACCACTTTTTCAAAGGAATAAAAGTGGTTTTGGAGTCTAACTTGTTTTCAAGACTGACTAAAGTGTATTTTAAAATTTTAACCCAAGTCTAATTGTCAAAGAGCACAGTAGTAGAGTGGCTAATGCTCCGGAGGTGTGATTTCTAGCCTCCCTCTAGACTTGTGCCAAAGGCTGCTCCTATTGGCCTTGCTCTAAATGGGTACCAGATCATTCAAGCAGGGCAGTCAAAGGCATCTGGAGGTGATGCTGGCCACATTGTTCCCTTGTGAATTGTTGGCTATAGAAGCTGATGCATAGTAATCATATTAGACCAATAGGCTGTTAGAATAAAGGGGATCTTTTTATACTAACTGATTAAAAACAAATCCAATATATATTTTCCCCTGGAGATTTTATCTAAAGTGCTACTATGATATTTAAGCAGTAAGACTTCTTTATTAAGATGTACTGTTTTAGGGTCTGATTCAGCAAAACGCTACTGAGGAAACAAATAGTGAACGGGGAAGGATTAGCCCCCTAAAGGTCCTATCCTCTTTGTGTAGTTTACAGAAGGAATAGGTCAGTCACTTGAACCACATGTAGACACACTGGTCCTTCTTGTACTATATTTTGTCTCCTTGAATATGCTAAAATATATCTTTTGTGAAAAGGCGGGCTTTTCAGAACAGTCAAATTAAGGAAGAGAGCTAGGGAGAAGTTTCCGCTGATGGAAATGTGAATAATTTAGATGATCAGCTACTTAATTCAATTTCAGAGAATATAAATTGAATGTTTTTATTTAAGGCTGCATTTTGATTTGAAACTGATTAGGAAATGTATTTGTATTTACCAACGTATCAATGAACATGCCTTTTTGTTAGGAAATCTGGTCTAATATGCTTGATAAAGAAAGCAGTTTGACTGATAGCTCTTAAAATGTTGTGATTTGGATAATACCACCTTTGCATGCGTTTATTATGTCAAGACGAGCTTAATTTTGTAGGTTTTCTCTACTAAATACGTTTTCAAATATGAAAAGCAGTTTTGAATTTCTCTTCACCGCTATTTTATGCCTTATAAAAACCATAAGCTCAGAAATAATGATATTGTATTAATTTATTGTGAACAGAGCTCAATTCTAACCTTATTCGTCTCTCAAACTGACTAATTAGGTTTAATTGAATTGGAACTGGAGAGAGAAATGCTTCATTTTATATAAATGCGTTAAACCATTATGTGAACATGTGAAATTTTATTATTAGGATCAGACTATCTAGACACTTAGGAGTGATCCAAACCCCGCTGAAAACAAGGGAGCCTTTTCATTGACTTCAATCAGCTCTGGATCAAGCCTTTCTAGAAATTCTAAGGAGTTGGAAAAGACTTCATTGTACATTTTTGCCTTGTCACTTTAGGGAAATATTTCACTTATTCTCCTCAAATTTCTCCTAGGTAAAAAACATGAATAATATTACAATCATCATGGTATAGTATGAATCAGGCTTCCAACATGGTTCCCAGGGGGTTAGGTACCCAAATACCATCACATATGAGCCTATTTGCCTTTTAATTGAGCTGAGTGATTAATGTCTCTAGAGCCCCTTTGAAAAAGCTCACATCAGATCCCTTTCCAGAGTTCTGCACGCTAAGTCAAGCCAGCTGGTTTTGCTGATGCATTCACTCTCACCTCCACCATCATCATCTCTGAAGAATTCCTCGCTGTCATTTGCCGAATGGGATTTTTTCATTTCAGCAATTCGATTTCGGGGCACTTTTCTCTTGAGTGATGGGGAGAAAAAGGATGGGCGATTGTTGCGTTCTGGGGTTGGTGGAGTGCTGAAGGAAGTAACCTAAAACGGAAATAGAAGCAAAGGAATATCTGGACACTAATCTGATATGCAAAGAATTAATTTAAACTGCAATGAGTAGGTAGTTTTGGGGTCCTAGTAGTAGACAAGCATCACAGTTGGCATTCTCAGTGGTACCCTTAGCAGAGTGGCTTAGAAGTAATTCACCATGATGACTGAACTACTGTGGCAACCTAGAGGTGTTTGTCAGAGTGGCAGTACAATGACGATGAAGTATAATGCCCTGATATCTGTATTGTGAATAAAGTTAGTGCCACTGCTATTTCTGCTGTGAATAAAGAAAGGACTTCACTCTCCTTGGCTGTCATTCAAGCACCTTCTGCACGTATCAGTTCACACAGAGAAGAGATTTATAAACCTACTTGGGTAACTGTAAAAATAAGTTAATCTTAAAATTCAGAAGTCAAGCAAAAGCATAAAAACAAAAAATGGACAGGCTAGTAGTATCAGATTCGGACAAAAAATAGCATATCCACTTTTCTTCGGCAATCACAAGGTGATTTTTTTCTCTGCTTTGAGAACACCAAATGCAAACTCAGAAAGGTCCTTATGCCTTTACAAAGCTCAGTCGCAAGGCAATTGCTTAGACTAGAACACTGATAGGAAACTGAAGTCAGCGCACCGTATAACAACAGAGGAAGTCTGTGGAAGTGACTAAGTGGTTAGGTAGTGCTGGAATGATGTTGCAGCCATGATGATCTAGGAAACATGTGAGACGTATAGATCTTTGTGGATAAAAAATTTTATTGAACCAACTACATGGCTGGGATAAAGTTGGACAGGCTTTTGAATGCAAGGCACTCTTCATCAGATCTCCAGCTCTAGGTGGTTAGGCTAAGATTCTTTGATGTGGAGAAGTTCCCTATTTTTAGGACTGCTACAACCTATACTTGTCATCAGATCTTAGAGATTCAGTATGTAGTTAAGCCTGCACTGTACAGCTGTAGTAGCCAGGCTTTGGTTATTGCTTTGAAGTGTTTTACCTGTTTGGTGTGGATGTCATTGAAGGCCAATGGCTTTGTCATAGTAAGGGAGTTTATTCCCAAAATTAATTCAGTCATTGCATGCTAGACCCTAAAGCAATTAACTTCCTGGTTATCTTGTTGCTGATTTTATAGTCTGGATTGCTTTAGGTTACTGTTTTCAAGAAGCTGACATGCGACCTAGACTGTAGTGATGCTACAGTGGTGTTCTGCCTTTCTTGAATCATTGCAAGCTTCATTCAGACTTCCTGGCTGTTGAAGTCCATGTCTACCCACTCTGTGAGGTTCCGCCATGATTTCTGTCTTTTGTCTGTTGGCATAGAGACCAATTATTTGCTAACTACAATGGTCCCATTGCTGGTAAATGCCAGGTTGGAGCTCTGGCTCCACTCTCAACTGGCAGCTGTTGAAAGAGCTAGGAACTTTTTGGGTGCAGATCAAGCTACAGTTGACCAAGCCCCATTCAAAAAAGCTTTTAGTACCACAGCTGGGGGCTGCTACAAGTAATATTATTTTAATGGTTTCCTTTCAAGTGAAAAAATGGATAACTACTTTACTGACTAAGGAATCCCTCTCTCATCTTCCCTTTTCACATTATGAATTTAGCATTTTTACAATTCCTCAAAGAATATGATTTTCCTCAGAGAATTGCTCACATCTCTCTGTACAATATAAAGAGGAACACAACTTAGATAACAGCAAATCTGCCAGGCTGGTGGTGCCCTGCAGAATCCCCCCATGTCATTTCTATGTAAATAATATGAACAATTCAAAAGCTTTTTCATATTCTCCTGCTAGCGTATCTGATCTTCAATTTGTGGTTACACTAAAAAACATTTTCTTAATCTGTAGATACCACATATGGCAGGCACATGGTAGTGGATAATGTATGATGAAAACTGTTACTGGAATAGCATCCTATGTGACTACTGAAAGTATTAACACAAAGGTGCCAGGAGCTACTTCAAGGCCATGCTCCCTTCAAGGCTGTAAAGTAGGAATGTTGTACTATCATAGAGACACCCAAGCCTGATTTTTCATTTTGCAGTCTAGCACAACAAAGGATCACTGTAGCAGCAGTTTGCTATGCTCTTTTAGGAATTCAGAGACAGAAGGGTCTTGTCGCCTGTAGGAACCAAGCGAAGGAGTAGTATGGACAAGCTCTGGAAGAGTCTTGCCTAGTCCTCCTTGACCTCAACCTCTGTTCTTCAGGAGGTCAGAAAAAGTGAGTCTGATAATCCTCTTCTTGTCATAGTCTAAGATCAGACCCTTTGAGACAGGAAGGGTAGAAGCCACTACTATGTACGATAAAATAACTTGTACTAGTTTCTTCCACTGATGGTGTATTTCATTCATTAATCATCCATCTGTATGAAGAAAGTCCATCAGTAACTATCAATGTTAAAATATTGTTGGCTTGTCCCTACTGGCTAAGCAAACAGCTTTGCTGAAACCATGCAAGAACCAAGTTAGCATCAGACCATTATCTCTTTACTCATATAAATGGTACCTCACTCCGTGTGAAATGCCACTGAGCTCAATGGAATTCTTCTTATGCCCAAAGTATACGTTTTTAGCCTCATGCTAAACCAGCAATGGCAGATTCCCTTGAAAGTGCCTTGTCTTTGTGCTATGTCCTACTAGACCAGGGGTGGGCAAAATGCAGCCCGTGACGCCATTCTATCCAGCCCACGGGGCCCCTAAAAAATTTAGAAAATTAATATTTATCTGCCCTTGGTTCCTGTCAAGCAGCCCCTTGCCCGCCCCATGGCCGGTGCCCCATACTGCAGCTGCTCACAGTCCACCTGGGGCTGCCTGTACCTGCTCCAGACAGCCCCACGTGGGCTGCGAGCAGCTGCAGCAGGGAGTGCTGGCCACGGGACAGGTGAGGAGCCACTTTTCCCCCCCGCCCCACACTCAGCTTTTCCCCAGGCTCCTTCCCGACACAGAGGAAAGCGGCCCCTCGCCCGCCCTGTGGCTGGCACTCCCTGCGGCAGCCACTCACAGCCCATGCGGGGCTGTCCTGAGCAGGCACAGGCAGCCCCAGGCAGGCTGCAAGCGGCTGCAGCACGGGGCGCCAGGCACAGGGGGGGTGAGGGGCCACTTTTCTCCTCCGCGCTGAGCACCAACTTCTTACCCAGCCCCACAGCCAGCCTGGGCCCCGCACCAGCTCTGGGCTTGCCCATCGGGGCTGCATGTGGTGACAGGAGCTGCGGCCCAGCCACTTGCCACGCCAGGCAGTGTTTGCCACTGCCGCCTCTGGGTTGCCCAGTGCGCGAGCTCCGGGCAGCCAGCAGCAGCCAACACTGCCCAGCACGGCAAGCGGTGGGGGCTGCAGCTGCTGTTGAGCCGGCGTGGGGCCCAGGCTGGCAGCGGGGGCGGGTTACAAGTTGGTGCTAAGCGCAGGGAAAAGTGGCCCCTCACTCATCCCTTGGCTGATGCCCCGTGTGTGGGCTGTAAGCAGCTGCAGCAGGGAGCGCCGGGCACGGGGCAAGCGAGGGGCCGCTTTTCCCGACACTCAGCACCAGCTTCTTCCCTGCTGGCGAGCAGAGAGTCAGGGCTGTGCGCTGCTCCACAGCTGTACTGCAGGGCTGGGGGTCACTGGGAGTGAGTGGGCAGGGAGCCAATGAGAGCACGAGGCCCACACTTGTGTCCCGGGGCCAGTGCTGGCGGGGCCCAGAGCAGGGCAGCAGGAGTGTGGGGTGCCAGCCGGCAGAGGCTCTATGGAGCCAAGCCAGCTCCCCCCTCTCCCTGCTGGTGCAGCCCAGCCCAGACCCCTGCCAGCCTATTCCCAGCTTTGGGCCCCACCGGTGCTGGCCCTGGGACATTGGTCCCAAGATGGTGAGCAGGGGGTGGGGCTACCCATGCGGCCCTTGACAGCCTGCCAAAATTGGGTAAGCGGCCCTCCACCTGAAATAACTGCCTGCCCCTGTACTAGACTTAGTAAGAATGGAAATAAAAATAATTTACAGTTCAGCAGCACATTTTGGTTGGGAAACCCCAACACCTGCAGAAACTGCAGCAGGATTTTTGATTTCCATGCAAAGTAGCATCTCAGCTTTGACTAGCATCAATCTGATTATTGCTGCATTGAAATATCTTTCCTGAAGTGTGGGCTGTTTGATAACCTTCCATGTATTCCATTTGGTCAAGAGCAGGGAGCACAAAAAACAACCTATATGCAATACGTAAAGTATGTCTACATAGCACAAAAGAACCCCAGCTAGCTCTGAATAAGCTAGCTCGGATACTGGAAGAAATATAGCTGAGTTAAGTGCAGCAGTAACATGCCAAACCTCTCAACAACAGAGTTATTAGCTAAATGGAGTGCCACAGCTATACTGCTTCTAATACCAGGACTAGATTGGGTTCAGAACTAGACTGGGTCTCTCTTCATGGTGCTGCATTGTCCTGTGAAGACAAGCATTAAAGCAAATTTAGAAATCTAAATAAGACAGCCACAGCCCTGACTTATCGCTGCCTTTTGAAGCAAGGTGTCAACATTTAACCTTCCAGGAAATACTTCTGTATACTACTTACTCTCTCATGCAAAGGGGATCCTGGGTTTGAATCTTCTTCTGTTCCATATGGAGAAGTGTCACCAGTCGAAACTCGACTTACAGCCATCTCCGCATGTCCTTTACCCTGTGGCCCCTTCATTCTGACAAATTCCATATTATTATACTTATAAAAGCCGAATGACATCTTTTGAGCCATTTTGGCAGCAACACTCACCTACAATGCACCAAAAAAGGAAAAGAAACATGTAGGGGGGACCATTAATGACTAGAGTGTAAAACTGCTAGAGAATGGTAAAACTCCTTAAATACATTTATAAATATGTGTCCATAAATAGCACTACATAATAATGCTTTTGCGAAGCACTAAGGCATTGATTTTCAATGAGGGTGTTGCAGCATCCTGAGGTGTCATGAGAGTCTTTTAAGGGTGATGTAACAGTGATTAGCACTGTTACATCTGCAAACACCTATACATGATTTACAAGACAAACTCAGAGATTTCAAATGGGAATCCATAATGCCAAAAAATGCTGACCTGTTGTCGTCTTTCTGAGTTCTTTGCAACAACAGAAATTGCTCTATTTTTCCACAGTCAAGAAATGAGCTAAACCTAAGAGCCGGTATTTTCCAAGGGCTGTTGCCTTGAGTCTAAAAGTTTTGAAACCACTGCACTAAACATACAAATCTATACATTTTCAGGTTCACACAGTTGTGCAAGTCAGAGTTTGTGTACATTTTGGGTGTAGGCACGCATACATTGGGAGCCCTTTCAAAGGGGAAAATTTCCTGAGGACAAGTATTGTTATATTATAATTTTTATTTGTGAACAAGATGAGAATGATACAAACATAGGAAAACATCGCTAACTTTAACACAGCTTCATATGGAGTTGTAATTAAGGGTACCAGCTGCTACCCTTTTGAAATGTCCCCATTTGAAAAGACTCCAAATGTTCAGGTATCCCCACACTTTGAAAACACTAGTCTTAGGTCAAAAACACAAAATGATATATTTATGAATCATCATAGAATCACAGAATCATAGAAGTAGGGTTGAAAGGGACCTTGTAGATCTTCGAGTCCGACCCCCTGCATAGGCAGGAAAGAGT